GAGCATGGGGATTAGCTCGATCAACGTCTTTCGGATTCAAGTCGGGCAGAGAATCGACCCCGATCAGATTTCGTAATCCCAATCACGCTTGCACGGACGGAATTAAGGGGCAATTGAGAGAGAGATTTATAATCTGGCTTTGGGCCGTGAAAGAAGCCGGACAGAGATAGGTCCAAGCGGGTTTGTACCGAGCTAACGTGGGCTTCTCCAGAATTGGTTTGCTCGGTCGAGGCCCAGATCCCACGTTTGGGCCGAGATAACTTGGCCGAGGTGATAGTCGGCCAACCCGGGTTTCATGGTTCACACATTTAGCTCGGTGGGAAGAATCTTCTGGATAGCAGCCTAGTCCGTCTGGAGCTCAGTTTTACCGAGTGGCGCCATCAGACTAGTAACATAGCATGGTCGTAGGAGGCCGAGGTGATGTTGCCGGGCTGTTCATTCCCTCTAATATTGTCTGGCGGTTTGATTAGGTGGTGTTTAGCTGGATTTACACTAACAGATGGGAGAGCAAGTCCACGTGTCAATAGACGAGTGGGTGCAGAGGAGAACGCAGAAAATATATAAGCATGACTGCGCCCCCCATGCTGGGGATGGAACATAATTTGGTGAGAGAAACCTAAACATCCAACTCTCTTCCTCTCTCTCTCTCTCTCTGTCTCTCTCTCTCTCTCTATCTATCTCTGAGTGTGTGCTAACTTGATCGTGAGAGGGATTTTCCAGTAACACACCACTGGGTAGCTCACCACCGTTGCGTTCGCAGGTCAATCGGATAGAAGCGGAGCTTTGACGAAAGGACTACGGGCATTGGGGAATATTTGCTCCCTGTACATATATATATATAATTTATATATCGTGTTGTAATACATATGTATTTGTCTATATAGCGAAAATATATTATTTATCTTTTGACCTTTACGATGATTAAATATTGATTTCGTCCCTGACGATTGAAGGCACGCCTTTTATTATTGTGATAGGAGATGGGATTTGAGTCCTAATAAACCATGCTTGGCTGTAGAATTATTTGGATGTGGTATTCAATTTTCAGCCTGGTGGTTTGATTTAAATTTTACTTTAACATTTATAGTTTTAAATTAAATAATTTAATATAATTCTAATTTGGTCCTTGCATCTAAATTGAAAGCCAAAATGAACAATTTTAAAATACTTGTCAATTGTTTTTAAGTGTACACATAAATTGTAGAGGTGAAAACCCAATATAATTTTATCCTCATTGTATACAAATAATGAAATTACCTATTTTGTAATAAATTTTTTACGAAATTTTATAAAGTTAATCTCAAATCAACAAGTTAAAACAAATATGATCAATCAGTATTACATCTCGAATCTAATATCACCGTACTAATAATTCAAGCACTTAATCTTATAAAATTCACTACAAGAAATTAAGGGTTTAGAGACAAAAATTTATGGACAAAATTATTTTTTGGAGACAATATTTATGTCGCCAAAAGTGTTATTATATTATTTTTGCGACAAAATTAAACATTTAGTGATGAATTACTAACCTTTTTGGGACCAAGTTATTTTGTCTCTAAAAGTGTATTTATTAGTGACATTTTCAAAATTTTGTCTAAAAAAACTTTCTTTGTTTTTACTTTTTGGGACGAGACAATTGAAATTAATTCCTAAATGTTTTTTGTAACAAAATTTATACTTTTCGAGAAAAAAAATTTGATCTCTAAAACTCTTATATGTTGGGTGATTCATAATCTTAAATACCTATAAGTGTACCACTTACAAAATGTTCGATAATATGATTCAGCATTTAAAACAGAATGTATTAAGTGATAATCAATTAAGTTCGTTTAATAACCACAATTGATATTACTTAAAATTTTGAGTGCCTCTTAAAATATAGGCTAAAACTTAAAAAAACATTTTAAGTCATACGAAACTTACTTGATTTTGACTGAATTTATAAATAGTAAATATAACTATCAATACACACTATTAAAACTTACTGCCACTATCACTATTATGCCACTGCCACCACTACTATTACTACTACTACTACCACCACCACCACCACCACCATCACTATTGTTACTGATACCATCACCACCACCATCATCACTGTGATGCCCCAAAATTTACACTAAGGGTTGTAGTCAAGGAAAGTAACTTACGAGTCTTATGGTCAATGACCAAGTCAGATCCTAGATTGCTGGAAGAGTCAAATTATCCTTCCTTCTAAGTACAACTTTCTTAGGTAGCAAGGCTATCCTTTTGACAGATCTTAAGAGGTATTGACGCAAGGTCTCATAAGCAACGTGGAGAACTATGTTGGTTTTTTTTTTTTTTTTTAAAAAAAGATACAAAATATCCGAAAAATAAGGTGATCTAAGTAAGTCAGTAAATTAATACATTAATTTTTTCTAGTCCCAAAAAAAAAAAAAAAAAAATATAGCTCTCTTTGAAAGTTTCCGGCTCTTCATTTTCTACTACAAAATCCTCTTCGATACCTAGAGTGAAACGCCATGTGTTTTAAATGCCCAGTAAATGCACACACACCCCGTCCCTTTTTCCCAATCTAATATACAATAGCAATTACAATAATAGGGGAAAGAAACATGATATTCAAGTAAACAACAAGGGTTACAAAGTTAGTTGTTAGTAGTCTAGAAATCTCTCAAAGAGATTTCATCCTCCCAACCACAAGAATTGGACACAAATTCGGTATGCCCCTTCTTTTGCTACTTTGCAAACCTTACCTCAGATGCCTACCAATGGTTACATACCGCGTAGTGCCAACCGAGGACCTCAAAAGAGATGGTAGAATCAGGGCCTTGCCCATTCCCTCCTTACACCAAAACCACCGAGGGTCCAAATACAACTACTTCGTTCAAGGGTTCCGAAACAACCACTTGCGCAAGACCTTAGATTCAAAAGGGAACACATCCCGCCAACCAATTCAATTTAAACATAACTTTATCTCATAACAATACTCATGTGATCGAAACCCCATTAGCCACTTGTAGACAGTCGGCTGCTCAAAATTGCCATTTTGACAAAATAGACTGCCGACCGGCAACAAAGAATGCCGACCGGCAATATACATTGCCGATGGCAACAAAACACCAGCCGGTGGCCTCTGGCCATGGCCGGTGATGTGTGGGGATGCCTCACAAGGCATTTCCTGCCCCTCTAAGGCAAAACACAAGTGTTTGGTGCAAAACCAGACACTAAACAGTCGAGTTCGGAGATCCTGAGGCAAGGCGCGTAGACGAGACCTCCGGGAACTCCAAACAAACACAAACATGGATGATCACCGGGTGTTCAAACGGTGACGTCCAAGTCTTGAGGACGGTCGAAAATGGGGTGTCTACACCACCCCATCAAGTTTTCCATTTAGATTAATGTTTTAAGTTAGTTAGCACAAGTAATTGAAATAAAATTTTCATAGACACAAACATCATCAAATGACTAAATAAAGGGTATATTACCATAACACATGCAATATCATACCAAGATATGATCATATACTAATAAGCATATTCACGAAGATGAGAGCATAGAACACCAATGTAGAACTAAATTTCTAGATTCAGTACCATTTAAAGATTAAAATCAAAAGGACCATTTTAGATTTTTCCTGAGCCTAGTCTTCCTATGGTTCATAGAGAATTTTATCTAGTCTTCATAACATATTTTGGAAATGGAATAAATTTTCTAGATTTTTAGTTATTTACGAAACACTCCAGCTCTATCCAAATCCGTCGACCGTTACAAAAATTGGATTTTCTTTCAAACCGCACACTCCTTTTCAATGAAACCAATTTTTCTTGAAAGCTAACTCTTTAAGGAAGTTATTGAGATAAAATGGAGGTTCAAGAGATTTTCCTACATTTTTCTAGAATTTTCAAAAATTGGATGTAAGAAATAGTTTTTCATGCATAATACTCAAATTAAGAAGATTGGTGAGAAACGAGACCAACTAAGAGAAATTTTTCACTTCTTTTGTGATGAAAACATACTAAATAATGTATCAACAACTTAGATTTTTAAAGTGATGGTGTGTCTTTGGAAATAATGGGGGATATGGAAAGAAAAATGTAGTTTTGCATCTATTAAGAGAAAATATGAGTAGAAGGAGGATCAAAACTCAACTCATCAACTCTAAACATATGAACACCATTACAACACATGAAAATATGATTTTAAACTTCTAATACATATATTTTAAAAAGGAAATAGAATGAGAGATGGTGATGTGGCTTACTCGAGGTTTAGTTGAATTGCTAACAAAACTTTCTCTCTCTCTTTTCCTTCACCAAGCTCACTCGCTTGCCCTCTCTTTCCTCTCAGCTAAATATGTAAGTGTGTGAGTGTATTTTGTGCTCAAAAGTGTAGAGAGTATTTGTGTATTTAAGAAAAATTGGTATGAAAAGTCCAAATTTCCCTTTGGTTGGAAATTGATTGGATATTTTAGATTTAGTTTGAATTCAATGGAATGTAGGATGATTATGAAGCCTAATTGTGTACCAAAACATGATCTAGTTAGGGTTAGAGCTTAAGTAAACTAACTTGGTTACAAGTATAAGACATATACATAATGCATTTGTACTTTCACTATAACAAAATTGGACTTTTATGGCTTCACATCAATGACATGTAGTAAATGCAAGTTGTGGTTTCTCACTTTTACGACTTCTTTTTTTTTTTTTTTTGCATGTCGTAAACAATTTCCCAACCACGGCGTGTCTATTGTGTAGGTCGTGAATGCAAATAACAATGATTTTTTTATGACTTGCAATGTTAACCTTAAATAATAAAATTTTCTATGATGTGCATATGACATGTTGTTAATACATCAACTATATACGACACATGTATATTAGCCGTTAAACATATTTCACTTTTTACGGCACATAATTTATGTCGTAAATGGTATGACTGAAAAATAATAGGCGCCAAAATAAAATAGAAGGCGCCAATCACCAAAAATATATTAGAACAAAAAGAAAGTTTATCAAAATACAAACTTTTTGCTTCAAATGGGTCCTGAAGGAGCATTGTAAGTTGCTAAATGGAGAAGAGAGGGAGAATAAAGAGGGTTCGAAAGGGAGATTGGTTCGGCGACAAGACTTTGACCTAGAACAATGCTCTCTCATCGGCGGCGAGATTGGTTTGGCGAAGGCGACGACAACGGCGACGGCGACGATCGATGGTTCGAAGGGGAAGGGTTTCGTTCTCTTCACTTCGATCTAGAAAAAATTTTAGTTCAATTCTTGAGGCATGTTTGATATCGATTCTTGAGGTATGTTTGTTATTGATTCTTGAGGTATGTTTGTTTCCACTTGGTTATTGATTTTTCTCTTCAAATTTCTCTGGCCGCCGCCAAACCCCCTTCGCACCTTCATGCGTGAGTCTTCCATCACCTCCTCTCTGTTCTCTACCACCTAACTTCACAATTCCCCCAAACCCTACTCTCTCTCTCTCTCTCTCCTTTCATTCTTCCTCCTCATGATCCCTTTTCAAGCCCAATTGATCCACTCCCATGACTACAAAGCATTTCAATTCTGATCATCTACCCAATCTTTTGAAGCTAAAACCCTAGATGTGGTCAACATGGGTCCAGCTTTTCGAAGCCATTACAGTGATTTTTTGCCTAATTCTTCTTTTCCGGCATTGGGGTGTGAATTGAGTGGGTTAAATTCGATGGTGGAGGATGGGAATGGTGAGATTGAGAGCTTGAAGGGTATGAGTAGGGTTTCCAATGAACAGAGGGAGCTTGATTTGTGTGTCGAGGAGTTCAATGTGCGGCGGTTGAATCGGTTGATGGGGCTAATTATTTTTTGGGACAGTTGAAATCCTTGCAGGTTGTTGCAAGCCTAACAGCAAAATGAGATGATGAAATTTGGAAGGCTACTTTAAATACTCCAGCTATAGGTTAAAAGATCCTTGGTGAGTTCTGATCTTATCAAGTTATAGACTTTATTTGGGGCTAATTATTTTCTTCCTTTTGCGCACTGTTTGACATTAAACAGGGGAATTTGGGGGCTTTATTGGTTGAACCACCAAAATAATGAGCTCCCCTACAATTGCTTGAATATGGTTTCATTTGTTTATTCTTTGTAAGTTTTGAAGGCAGTCGTCAAAGTAAGATTAATATAGGAACTTGTGATAGCTCATTTTTCATCTGTTTTGGATTTTCTGAGCAAGAGTCTAGAGTTGGCATATCTGCATAATGTTGTTATACTGAAAACACTTTTTAGGCACTTTTATAAATGCTTTAAAGTTTACAACTAAACTTGATTTAAGATGTAATAATTTTGTGAAGTTGCTTTGCTCCCCAAGGCATCCTTTCTTAGATAATCAGCGACTATTGCGGCGTTGCATTTTTTTTACTTCATGGATTTATGCGTTTTTCTTAGAATGGAAGTGTTGAATTCCGTTCAATACATGTTTTCTATTTTTCTATTAAAATGAGATTTTTGTGGATGTTTTGCAAATTTACTCACGTTTTTAGCTTGTTAATGATAATGTATCTATTTCAGTTGCTGGAGTAATCAAAGATACTGTGTAGATCTTTTTGTAGTATCCATTGTTATTTTATATGTGCCTTTATTTTTCTTCTACTCTGATAGGTCCTCAAAGTTGCACTGAAGATCTGGTTGTTGCATGATTTGAAGGAAATTGTATTCCTAATGAATATAAGGTAAGCATTTATGAATCCAGTGTGAAATTTTTGTTATAAAAAATAGTATTGGTGATCTTTTCCTGAATGCTTATAGGATAGTTTAATAGTTGATTGTGCACAATTATTGTTGTTTTTGTTCTATGATTGTAATGATCATCACAGATGGTTCTTTTCGGGAACTTTTTCCCATTACTCCATTGGATTGATTAAAGTGCTCATTACAGTTAATTCTCTTTCTTTTTTGACAGTTCTACACATTTTTTACAGTCTCCACTTCGCTATTATTTCTCTTATCCTACTTTCCTACTTTCTCTTTCATATACAAATGTACATTCATATGGTGACTAGCACCAGTTTAGTGTAGCAAAATGGTTAATAAAGGACCGGATCCAGATTTTATATCTGAAATAACTTATCTGAGTTTCATTAGAGTGCCTTCCTTTGATTTAAATGAAAAAAGAATTACCACACTAATACAAAAAACTCTCTGACACATTCATTGGAACACACAGATTAATTATGTCAAAAGAATGGAAAAGAAATCATTTGCTTTCCAAGATTAAATCTAATTTATGTTTTATTAATATTATTGACTCATATCATAATCCATGCCTCATTCCCTCATCCATCAAAATTTACATGTTATTAGTATATGCTTAATTTTTCATTGAAACAAATATCCACTAATGAGTATTTTTTGTTTTTGGGAACACTAAAATTTTATGGAATTGGGTTAGAGTCGGAGGATGCTGTTGCCACAAAGAACAGCTTGACTCTCTCACTTCGGTTGCTAATAGCGGCTCATAGCAAATTACCCCAAATTCAAAATTAGATACAAGTTGATATTGATGCACTCATATAAGCGAACAACCGTAGCGTCTCGGCCTCACACAGGTAAGTAAATGAAGCAAAATTTATTTTCTGCATTCCTTCTTCTATATGCTCCTTAATGTAGGAGCTTTTATTACATAATATCATTAAAAGGCGGGGGGAACTTCGAGATTTTCAGTTTTCTACATGTGAAAAAGTGTTTAATATACTCAGAATAAACACATCTTTTCTAGAAGTATAAATTAATCCACTGTCATCATTTCCTGCATAGCAGTAATAAGGCTTGTCTTCATATAAAGTTGCATGGGTTAGTTATTCGAGTACAAAAATCTGTTTTCAATATATTCCCTTCTTTGTCATTTTGTATACTCCAAAGGAAGCAAGATATAAAAGATTAATCATTATGCATGAACCACTATTTTTTTTTTAAATTTCTGTGCACTTTGCATTTCTATTACGGTAACTCACAAATACACCAAAAGTTGGATTGACCTACTTTACCCACACACAAATGAGGTGAGGAAGAGAGAGAGAGAGAGAGATTAAATATTTTACCAAATGAGATTTTTGAGTTCCAAATGCACTTATGATTCACTTAAAATCCTAACATCTCAAGTAACAAATCTACATAGGGACACTGTTATCACTGTCAAAGCCAGAAACATACATATGACAATGACTTGGGAGGATAACAAAGAAATAGAAAAGAACAAAGTAATATTATTGTCTATAATAAAGTAACCCCATTTATTTTATGAACTGAATGATAGATAAAAAGGGGGAGGTGCTCTAAATACAGAAAGAATAGAGAATAAGATACGAAACCAACTCGAGTCAAATCCAAAACACTCATCCACACACACTAGAAGGGATACTTGGTTCACTACTTACTCAAAGCAAATCCCAATTGACTTTTGGATGTTGTACTGAATTGATGGTGGTAATGGTTGATGCAGTAGTGGACATTGAAGGGTGCCCTGGCACCGTGGCTAGCCTAGAATCAAATGTCTCCCATTGTGTAGTTATGACAACTAGTCCAGAAGTTGAATGCCCTGGGGTTTAACGTGGTGGCGGGGGCTGTGTTTGTATTGGCAAATGCCCAACCGAACGCCTCGCTTGCTGCTGTTGATTTGGTGAGGATATTTGCCCATTCGAGTACCTCTGTTGTTGAAATGAGGATTGCAGCTGTGGAATTTGACTTCCATTGCTCTTAGGCATTGAGTTTTTGATCTTCAACATATCAAGAGTCTCAACATATTTCTACACTCTTCTCACCTTCAAGAGAGATGTCAAAATTGAAAATTTAGTATCTTAAAGTGATGATCAAATCAAAATCTAAAACGCACATCATAATGCACATAAAAAATTACCTACATTTTCCTCTGCAAATTCACATCCCCATCACTTATAATCCCATCCAATTTAAGCAGTTGATTCATCAACAGTTCGGTCAGATTCAACACATCGCTCTCTACAACTTTACCACCTCTAGAGATTACTGATTCAAGAGCTAACACCTACCCAATTCCAATGAAATAAAATAAAAAATCAACTAAACAGTCTATCAACAACAAATTCATCCTTCTATTAGAATTTTGTATGAAAAAAGAAATAAAATAAAATATATGCCAGGCAAGCCTATCAACCTCCAAGTTGATCTCAAAGATTGATTTCGAAGCCTTCTCCATCTTTGCGTTCTTTCGCATCTCAAGAAACCGTTTCTCCTGACTAATTGGGTCCTTAACCAAAACGATCTTTGATCGGTCCTTCACTCCTGACATGACAAGGAAGGCATTAGTACAACTTTAATTTATGAGTTTTGAAAATAGATGTTGTAGTTGATTTTCCTGTGTCATTGTTACTTGTTATTAATTGTAACGCTCTCAAAATAAACTCATAATTATACATTCAGAATACAAGAAAGAGATATCATATTCCCAACATCAGAGTATTCTTACAAGAGATATTACATGTTGACAACAAAAATAAATGGCCTATAGGCTTACAACTTTCCAAGTCAACACTTGGGTTCAACAAAAATAGAGTTCGAACTCTTTACACAAAATAAGCCTTTGGCTTGATATACATGTAACACAAAAAATAATCACAAAAGTAAGCTTTCTGCTTCTACAACCTCCCAAGCTACGTCCTTGGAGGTAGCATATCACCTGCACCTGAAAATGATGTCCCATATAGGGTGAGCCAACACCCAGTAGATATATACTAAACATAATATGAGCAATAACTAAAACATTAGCATTTGATAAATGTTTAACTCATATAAACCGACATACAGCACAATCCAAATCCATGACAAGTATGTCTATGATCCTTTCCAATATCAACAATTTAAATGAGATTAAAACTCATAAAAAAACACTTCCATACTTCACAATTCACATGAGATAACAACTCATATTAAATCACTTCATACTTCATAAATGATACACAGATTTGCTGTATCAATGGAGTCCATCCCCTATCTCCTCCTAAATAAAATCTGGTTTAGGAGTCCATCCTCTATCTCCTCCCAAATCGTGGAGTACATCCCATATCTCATCTCACACAATACAATATATATAAACAATTATCATATACACGATCAATCAATACACAAATTCGATGTATTATTCCAACCATCATATTCAATGACATATTCAACCGATTAGTTTTAATTCACCTAATCATCATGCAGTGTCTATAACAATCAAGACTATCCTCCACCGATAGCCCAAGACAATTATTTCTAAACAGATAATAAATGCATTAAACAGATAATTTCTTAACAATTTCAAAGGTGAGTGATTAATCAATCCAACTACACCATTTCATATCATAACTACCCAATTTCATTATTTCCAACTCAATTTCATATTTCCATAACTTCCAAAATTTATTATATAAATTAATTTATCAAAAATTAGGGCTTTTCTTCCCCCTTTTCCAATATTAACCCAAAGGTTCAAATATCATTACTAATCATCATTACCATCGTTTTAAGACCCAAAATACACATGAATGAGTCATAAAAATCCCTCTTTTACATCTTGAAACCCTAACACCCAAAATTACTCAACTCCAACATTAAATAAAAATGACCAAAAGTTTATGCCAAAGATCATAAAAATGAGTAGTTATCCTTATCTCAAATGAAGAGACTCAAAGAAGATAATGAAGAAACTCGGATGTGCTCCAAACCCACAATTTTTTGAATCAAAACGAAGATCAAGGGAAGCTCCAGACTTAATACAAAGGAACTAGGGTAGAAGATCACTAGAACTAGATGTATTTATAGAGAGAAGATATAGTCTAAAGAGAGAAACTCTCAAGTTATTCATTCAATGAACTTCATTAAATAGATTAATGTATCTCATACATTCATGATACATAATGTATCTTCTATATTAATGAATTCATTAGATAGATTAATGCATCTTACATATTCATAATAGATACATAATGCATCTCTAAGATTCATTCAGAATAAATCCATCACATTCAATGTATTAGCATTAGTCTTCTATACATTGTATATATAGGTGCATTCATCAATGATTAGTCACCATCTAATTGATGTACATGCATCTTACTTAATGAGATGAATCTAATATAATCATGCATAAGCTTCGAAAAGTTGGAGAAAGAGAATGGCCCGAAAAAGTGATCCAAAAAGCTGTTTTTCGAACTGATATACAAACAGGTCCGCTCGAGCATCAAGTCCAAAATCTGGACATCAACCCTTGGTTTCCAAACACAACCAACATGTTTCACACCTGCCTAACACAACCCAAGACTCATATACAAAGAGTAAAGGACAGAAACGGGAATAAGACAACAACACATCCACGGAACTAAGTCTGGAATACAATTAAACAATGAAGGAAAAATCGGGATCGCTATATTAATGGTTAAATGTTATCAGCAGATACAGATTAGAATAGGAAGATATCACTTACTACTGATCAACGATCTATCAGTGTACTCTTGTTTTGGTTGATTGAAGATAGGTACAGTATTTTAAGGGTTAATTTTTGAATATGTTTTGCTTCCTTAGTAATAGCTAAGTTCTAAGGAAAGAAGCTGAGGCTTCTTTGAGTTATACAAAGTTTTTTTCTTTTTTTTTTTAGTTGACCTATGTGAAATTTGTTTTCTAGTGTTCCTTACCATATTTGCTTCCATGATAAATATGTGCTCTATTATATGTTTTTTTTTTTAATTTTATTATTATTTTTTTTCCCTTATGTTGTAAAGTTGATTGCTTCTGCAGAATACACATGGCACCATTCAATGATGAATATTTATATGTTGAAATTACAAATAAGGTATGTACAATGAAATTGGTGTATTGAAGCATTTGTATGGTCTATTGTCACTATTATTTACTTTGCACATAAATATATGCTTGCTTTGGCTTTTAATGTCTACATGTTATTAGTATAACTTAATTTTCATTGAAAGCACATCCACTAATAATTATTTTTGTTTTTGGTAACAGTAAAATTTTATGGACTTGGCTTGGGGGATGTTGTTGCCACAAAGAATAGCTTTGGCTCTTCTACTTCGGTTGCTGACAGTGGCTTTAAACAAATTACCTAACCTCAAAATCATATACAAGTTGATATTGATGCACTCATATAGGCAAACAACCATAGCATCTCGACCTCACAAATGCCCAACTGAACACATCGCCTATTGCTGTTGAAATGGGACTGCAACAGTGGGATTTGACTTTCATTGCTCTTTGGCATTGAGTTTTTGATTTTCAACATATCAAGAGTCTCAACATGTTTCTGCACTCTTCTCACCTTCAAGAGAGTGATGTCAAAATTGAAAATTTAGTATCTTAAATATCTATAATTTAGAACTCTTTGAACGGTTTTGAAGTTGAGGACAATTTTTGATGTTTATAAACATAATTTTTGGATGGTTTGGAATGTAGAGATAGGGGGGAGCATTTGTAAATTTATGAATAGTTTTTTTGATGTTTGAAATAATATTTGGTGGTTGATTGATACTTATATATATATATATATTTTTTTTTTCTGAAATTTGTTTGTAATGTTTTTTGAGATTTTACAAAAAAATTTATTTTGTGTTTTTGTTTGATTATATGGCTGTGCAACCTTGATTCAATTGGTTGGAAATTTGGAAGTAACTACAAGTCTTTTCCATGAATTGCCTGTATTGAGGCAAAAGGGTATGTAGTACTTTTGGAAATCGAAGAAAATGAACAGTAACCTAGAGGATGAGATCAGCTTTATGCTGATGAATCGAAGTGCAAATAAATTCTGATGAATCAATTTTTTGTTGATGATCACAGTGCAAAAATCAATGTTAAATTCTGAAAAATGAAACATTGAATGCTGTGATCTCTGACCAAAATGAAACATTGATTCATCAGATGATAAAATCAATGTTTCATTTTTGCACTATTGAAACATTGATTCATCAGCATCAGCACTGTGATCATCAACATTGATTTTTGCACTGTGATCATCAACAAAAAATTGATTCATCAGAATTTATTTGCACTTCGATTCATCAGCATAAAGCTGATCTCATCCTCTAGGTTGCTGTTCATTTTCTTCGATAAAAAAATAAAAATAAATAAAAAGAAGAAAGAGATTCCAAACAAAACAGTATAAGATAGTTTACCAACAATTAATCACAAAGCAAGAAAATTTCCATATATATCTCAGGAAATTTGAAAGAACCAACTATAAATACAAAAAGTCTTACTTCGTCGTTACAAAATTCCCCAAAATTTCTTTGTCCTCGATTCTCTTTCACACGAAGACTGG